AAGTTGGATATCGTTTGTGGGACAAAAAGCAAAGGGAGTTTCGTTTTTGTGGTCGAAAGACACAAATTTTGCGCCGTTTTTCTTAGTCGACGTTTCGTTTTTGGGGATTTTTTACGGAATACGGTCTAGGGTCAAAGGGGACTTCGTAAAAATTCCCAAAAGTCGAGGGGGACTTCGTTTGTTTCCATTTTCATCTAGCCACCTCGTGCCGAGCCCTGGCAATAAGGAGTTGTGTCGCTAGTACGAAATTCAAGCAGATATATTGAAAAGAAGAGAAAAGTACTGATCTTTCACCAATCTCAACAGTGTGCTACTTAATTTCGCTGCAAAGAAACTTGCAGAGACGAAACACATAATGAAGAACAATTCCAATTTATGTAATGGTCATTTTAAAACCACTGAAAACTTTTGCAGTATTTTACGATTCTCGAGTCGTGCATGGTTCGATGTGATCGTGAGATATTCTTAGTGCATTTTAGCTCTATTGACACAAGGTAAATATAGGTTAAGTTGGCTCATCGTGCTCCCAAAAGAGCAAAGACTTCTTTTAACAAGGTGAATAAATGTAAAAATGAGAACCTCATATTACAGGAAAAAACGGACCATGTTTTTATGCTGTAAAATCAAAAAATCCATGCAATCTCACCAATACCATCTGAATTCTCCAAAAATGTGATGAAAGAGGAAAAAAGAGTGGCCGAGTAATTAAAGATAAGATTATGTGACCAAATCACCAAACTGATTTATAGATACCAAAAGTAAAAGATTCAGGTTATTGGAACACCAGAAAGAATTTTGACTGATCAACACAAACGAATACAATGCAGTGCATCCGCTACGACAAAAGGATCACAACAACATAACACTCGAAATGGAGACGGCGAAGGACTAGTTTCGATTGTGAAGATTGGTATCGCCTTGGTTTGAAATAATTACAAAAAACGAAAGACGTCTTTTGAGCTGCTGCAGAAATGAGCATACACCACAGATTCCGACTTATCGGAGCAATAGGGCTTATCTAGACACCTGGCTGCCCTCAAGAATAATCTAACCCAGAAAAAGCAACAGTCTAATACGATCAGGTTTGAATTGGCGAGAATTGCTTGATAGTATTTCTTACTATTCAGTCACAACATTAAGAGGGCATGCAATAATTTCCGAGCCTTTGCCTTCAGAAAACTAGCCAAGTAGCAATTTTCGCAGTATATAACGATCATGCAAGAGGTTCTTCTACATTATCTCATCCAGCCCTGGATCTGTGAGAAACTGAGTAACGTCTAGTGGCTGCACCATCTCCAAAACAAGTTCCTCGTTCCACTCCTGATGCGATAGAATAACAAAAATACCAGGAAACAATATGAAAAATAACAAAAGATTAGATTAAGATAAAAATCAAACTAGCAGGTTTCTCTTCGATAAATTTTAGAGAACTCTTCTACCTTATAGAGCAAAGAATGAATTTTGATGCGGATAGTGCCGGTGTGAGCTGACCTTTGAAATCGCAGTGAAAATGCAAAATTTCTTGTTCACTGTATTGCTGTGAACAAATTTTGGAATATTTGGAAAGCGGGGAGCAGCAGAAGTTAAAGTGGCGGAAATCGTAAAAACAAACTTTGAGACGCCGCCGGTCATCGAGAACATTTCAGGACGAGTGCCGGCTATACAAATAAAGATTATGGGACTTAAGCTAAAGGCAGGGCAGGTTTCGAAAATCCTTGAAGTTCATGAATGTTTGTTTGAGAATTTGTGAATAATGAGGACTGAAAGGTGAAGTGATCGGTTCCGTAAATCTATAGGGAACAAACGAGTAAATGAGAGTTCGAAGAATATGCGATCATGGGTGATCAGATAAGCTTCTAAAAACAAATTGTGGAGCTCAATTTCATTGCTGTGCGATCTGCTATACCGAAGAAAAAGGCATATGTTGACAGTCACCCATACAATCTGCTTAATTCTCCATGAAAACTCAAATGCGTGGACGTGCAGCGACCCATATAGAGAGAAGGCTACGACTAGTTAGGAACGCAAGGCTGCTGATCCGGATCACTTCGGACAACTGGCACAAAGGCGGAGAAAGAGGAAAAAAGCTGCGAACGCCATCTTGATTTGGATTTCCGGCTCGCTCGTCACGAGACTTCTTCCATATGACGGTTTGTGCTTAGGAGACGGGCTAGAGGAAGAATAGGAAAAGCGCAGGGAATAAACTAATATTTGTATGTTCTAAGTTCCAAAATTAGTTTGATGCTCTGTTATCTAAAAACCTGTAATATATAGAATGACCACGGGCTATGTACGTTACCAAATCTTTCAAATGAGGAAGTACAATGGATCTTCTCCGCTTTGAAAATCGACCGGGTCATTATACAGTTGTCGATTGCAATTCGTTCAGCCACACCGTCGACAGACAGCTTTCTCGCTCTTCATTCGACTTTATTTGTACAGCACACGATGACCAACGTTTGACAGCAGCTCAGGCTCGACTTCGCCAAATCCGCCAATGTAGCGTGAGAGTGAAATTCGGGCGAGTCTTCTGGACAGATTTGAGAAAATCTATATGGAAAAGGAAGTAATTGTTTACTGAAGCTCTAGACACACATGACGGTATTGGGAATATGGAAGACTAGTAGCTGGAAAATTCTTGCATTGTATCCTGGATGTTAAGCAATTCAAACCTCACTCTCGCGGAAAAAGATTGAGAAAGACCCTCCAACACTTTGGCTCAAACAACGAGTGGAACGAATGCGATGATGAATACAACTGATTGAAGATCTGGAGTTCATTTTAGTTTATGAGTGTTTGATAATCAGCTAACGAATTGTAAAAGAGGTATGTAAATGTTCGTTGTGGTGAATCTACTGCCACAAGAAAATATTTGCCCCCTAATCACTGTAGACTTTTAAAAAAGAAAGTTCAGCAGATATCTGCTTTCCATCGGGATGGAAATCGTTTCATATAGAAAGTTTGTCTATGAACTTGCAATGGCAAGAAGTACACACAAAATTGGTTTTAAAGAAAATAATGACAGGGGCCGCCCTAGATGGCAAATGTAACGAAACGGTTAGCGCATAAGTCGGAACTTTGCTGCGGACTTTCATGTTACATGCTTTCATGCGCCCTCACCATGTTGATCTTCTGCTTTGTGGCTAATTGTAAGTTTACTTTTCCCTTTCCTCCACTTCATCTACATACATAAATCTGAGTGTCGGTAAATTGTTAGTTGGTGTGTTCTTTATAGAAACTTTTGGGTGTGAACCGATCACCGCCAAACGTTGCACACATATGTTTTCGACTACGGTCCACCCCGTAGGCTACTTTCCCAGCAATTCCAATCTTTCTATTGAATTATCGATTTTGAAGAAAAAGGAGCTCTCATCAATCATTATCAAAGCGCTTTCAATTTTCGTGTAAACAATAGCGGTAGGACTCATTTTCATTTCACGACGAAGGTGGTGAGGTTAATCAATGCGATGCGTTCAGGAAGTATTTGCCCTGTGCTACAAGAATAACGAAGAAGGCCGAGATGCAGATAATTTGAAGCCTTTAGAACTGCGCACCAATTTTGCTCTTTACTGAGTCAATTAAACCCACGGTGCGGGAAAGCCAGGCAGCCCAGCTAGTTGATAATGAAAGTCTGATCCGGACATTGCTGACAGTGAAGCAGGTGACGAATGAATGGTGAGAATAGTTTATGTTACATACGTATTTTAACCTCAAACATAATTGTGAGAGCAAGAAGAAAAGACTATTTCGAAAAGACTAGAAATATCATTTTTAGTTTTTGGGGGAGAAAGGAGCAGTATCGTAAATTAGCAGAAGGGAATATTTCAGAAGCACATATATTGAGTCAAGTAGCGGGTAAATGGAAACATGAGAAAATATCATATTGTGATTATAGTCTCTTGCAGCAAATCAGCGATTGCAGGAAAAGAGGTCCAAAAAAAAGTTCCAGTCGCAAAATAATAAAAAGGGGTTCTCGGCTAGATTGACCCGTCTTGATTACGAATCTTGAAAAGAGCTATATTGAGCTCCAAATTTCAAAAACCGAGAAACTCCAAGTCTTTCATCAGACATATGTACACAGCTTGATAGAAAGCAAAGTTTTGCTGAAATTTTCAGGAACCAAACGCGAGTCTACAGAGTATGTTGAACTTTCATTATTGAGCATGAGCAACCCCGAATCAGACAAAATCTTGAGCAGTTATCAGGTATATTCAGGAAAAACACATAATAGAAGTAGGAAACTTAGACATGCAGCAAACGCGCATTACCTTATCACTGAAATAAACCAACAAAAAAGCAACACGAGGAGATTGTCGTATGGAGTTTTGAATATTCTTCAATCAGTCCCCTATAATAAGCATATGCGTAATGGGAGGAAAAACACATAATTGAAGTATGATACTTACAATTAGACGTGCAGCAACGTGTATTACGTTATTTGAACAAGCTTTATCGTGCGATTGACGAGTCTAAACTTGTGCTTTATCTTCTAGACATATTTCCTACTTATTATTAGAACCAGAGAAGAACAAGTTCAAGCTTGTTAGACGCGTGCAAAGTGTTTTCGAGTTCCTCGGTCTCAGAATAGATGGTACCTACGGTTTGTTTAGTCGATTGTCAACATATTTTAACAACATTTTTTCAGTCAAAATAACGGAAATGCTTGATGGCTTAGACTTCTGTAGCATAGAATTTCTATTGTTTTTAGCAAAAATGAAATAATGCAAGTTGCTGAAGAATAAAAACTTATCTCGATATACTCTCCCACATTGATTTGGTCATGTTAGTACATAGTTAGAGGATGACTGAACTTAAATCTGGATGTATATTCCTCTTAGTGAATATTCTCGGACCATAGGATTTTTCAGCGTACACACTAGTCTGCAATTATGTTAACAAACTTTCCGAAGATATAAATTACTTTACAAAATTTTGTGGCTCGTGATGGAATTCCATATGGCCCAGCAGCGAACAATCTAAATTAACTATGGTCGACTCACAGTGTAAGGACGGACCTGGTGCGTCGCTGATAAGTTGCAATGTTAGTGGAATCGTCAAAAACCGCGTCGCACGTCTTTGTGCAAGGCTTCGCCCTGCTTGCTTCGTGGTCGAAGAAAAAGTTTCCGATTTGCTCGTTTGTATAGATTTCCTGAATGACATTCACGAACAAAATATAAGTCCTTAAGACTCGTATATGGAAGAGAAAGGTGGGATGGCTCAGAGCATTTTTCTTTAAGCCAAAGGTTTCAGCCTTACTGCTATCTGCTTCACCAATTCTAATTCGTATGCTTATTGACTGTGTTATGGCTACTGCATCTGATGACAATAGGAGGGCAAAAAGTAGTGGTTTAGGACCCGAGAGATGAAAAAATTTCACTAAAAGAAAAGTCCTAACAGGTGGTAGAATAGGAGTTAGACAATTGCAAATCCTGCAGTGGGAGCTCAGCGATCGATTTGTGCATATCGATTTGTAAACATTTTTAGAGATCAAAGAACTCGTGCACCCGTAGAACATGAAAATCAGTCAGCTATCTCATCGTCAAAAATATTTTGCAGTCTTGCATCGCGAAAACTCACAGTAATGTGAACTAATTGCCTAAACAAATTCCGCAATAATTTGCGGAATGTCCACTGATCCACTGTTCGTGTCCGTAATGATCTTGTCATCTTTGTCGCTCTCTATCATTTTGAAGCAGTTGGAACAATTTCTATCATATTCTAAGCTAAAGCAATGGATTGAAATGAAAAGCAGCAGTGAAACACTTCAGATGTGATGACAAGTGAAAGACATTGAAGTATCTTGAAGATCCCTTAGCAAGCTAAGTTTATAATTCTAGGTGATACCATTCAACAATTGCGGGTAAGATCTACATTTTCTCAAATTAAGTTTCATGTGCTTCTTCTGGAATTCTTCCTCAAGTTAAACTTTGTGATAAGTTCCCCACCTTATAATCGTATTGACTTCTTGTGAATTGAAGGCCATTTTTATAAAAATCGCGATTTTCGTAATAGGCTTGCACCAAGAAGAAGTAAATGCACCATCTCCGTCACAATGCAATTCCAAAATGATGTCAAAGTTGTGCATTCACGTTCGAATGGAATCATCAAAAGAATTCGGGGTCTCAAAATTCAGTGAAGATTAGGAGTTACAATGCAATTTGGAACGACTTCTATTTCATTTATGGCGTTTCTAGAATCTGAGATCATTTATTGAGGATGGCAAGCATCGTAGAGTTTGTTATGACGACTTCTAAAGACTAGCTATCAGCTGTCACTTCTTGACACTCAGGAAGTTCCTTCAAATTAAGAACTTTTTTGGCTGACAGCTTTACGACATGCCAATATACTATGGGAATTACTATTTAGGTAATAAATTCCCGTCGATACTGAGCCTGAATCCTTGCTTCAGATAGCCCAGCCTCCTCATAAGAAATAGTCTATACCAAGCGAGGAATCGAACAGAAATTTCCATTAACGACGTCACCAGTAATTCTTGATTTGTATTGTTGAGAGGATTGCAGGCTTTGACATTTAATTGGGACGATGCTTTTGCAGCCTTGCAGCAGATAAGCACTTTGTGCTTCCTAATTTGCAGTTTTAATTTCTAAACAATTACGATACATCGTTTCTATTCATCGTTGACCTTTGAGGAATCGTAGTCGGTGCCTAGCTCTACTAGCTAAAGGCCTTCTATAGTACAACCGCGAAATTTTGGCCTTCACAGCAGCTGGTTTCCAAGAAAAATTGAAAGTTGTATAAAAAACCCGAATGAGAAGAGCCAGACGTGCCCGGCATCACTTTGGCAAAAGTAAGGAGGTTTTCGTTTCTTCTCCATTCAGCCAAGATAAGTGTACACATGAATGTCAGATACAAAGATTACATCCTCTAAGCTACTTGTAGGATGCAGTATTCGAAATGAATTATAATTGTATAGTGTTGTTATGCCAACCAGGTTTTGTGGTGGATCTTTATTCTTGACCTTACGTTTCGACAATTACCGTCTTCTTCGGAGGTCTCTAGTCCACCATGGAGTCAGTAGTCCGCACGAATGTGACGGACATCACTAACTGACATCACGGACTACTGAATTATAATTATTTTTCGATTTTTTGAGTCTTTGGTTCTCTTTTGGTTTTTGGCACCAAAATTCGCGTAGATCGAACTTGGTACAAATCTTTTAACTTTATCTTGTAGAACTTGCATTGCTCTCTTAGTACCTTAAAACCTTTCTAATGAAGAAGAAATATGTCATATTGGCTTTTAAGCTTTTTTGGATGATGTGTGCTCCAGCCTATCATTTGGGCATACATATTGCTATAAGCCTACGAAGTCCATCAAGCAGAAAGCGAATAAAAACTTGCATATAAAGCTTTATTAAAGTTGAATACCAGTGAAATCATTGTGAGAATAGATTGCATATACATAACCGTCATTCAGGGCAATGTTCGCGTATGGAATCTTGCCAAAAGTAAGAACACGAACACGAATACAATGGATGGATGCAAATATATTCAATGAAACCGGCTATCTTTGCAGCTGCGATCATGCCAACAACAACAGACACACTAAAGGTAGACAGAATTGCAGATAGAGATCTTGCAGGTCGAATCCATCGCGATATTCGAGAAGCATAAGGCATTTTAGATTCCAACTGAGATATCCTGGCTTGTGCCTTATCCTGAGCTGATGAGCTAGAGTAGTTGAGGAAAGTAGCATGAGGTACTGGAGAAAATTGCTGTAGCCTACAAGGCACTGAGATTGATGTGGAGATGGTGGCAATGGGCACCAAAATGGTGCGATACATGATTGTACCTGAGAGAAAACATTTAAAAATTTATTTCTAGTCCAGGAAGGTTGCTGGCCCACACATGCTGATCAGTGAAGACAAATTGGATTTCATAAAAGCGCATATGAAGTGAAGTTAGTTATAGTGCTTTAGCATATGTCACAGCACCAATTTTTTGAAGACTCTAATGAATTTTCAAAAACAAACAAACAAACTTTCAACATCCAGTTGAGTTTTGTTGGATGTATTCCCAGGACCCGTAGAAACCCCAGTTTCGTTCAAAAAAAAACCTATCTACCAAAAAAGTCCTACAAAAGAGATTTGCAAAAATATTAGAAAAGTACCCGCGAACTTTCTTTACAACCCTCATTGATTCTTTACTACCACTATACATGCCAGGGTGGCAAAAAAGCAGGGTATGATGATAGGAAGGAAAAAAATAAGTTCGCGAGTGAAGATGATATATATTTTTAGACGCTGATTCCAAATCTGCTTTTTACTTTTGCGGAACACATGCCCGGAGGAAGTTATGAGCGGTTGAAAGTTCTGATTTGTCAATTTTGATTTGTGAGTAAATCAAACACAAAGCTCAAAAAGACGCCTAAAAACTGGCACTCAATTTTCTATTAAGTATATTGATTACAAGAAGAGCACAGCCAGAGGAAATCTGCATAGTTGTTGTTGTAGAGCTTCTCGCTAATTTTAAGCGCTCAAACCTTGACATTTGGACATTCCAACGCTCATTTTTTTGGAGGGTCATCCCGCCTAAAAGAAAGCAGATTCGGAATAAGCACTCAAAGAAGCTGCTAGTGATGTATCAACTCGTTCCGAAAGTATTTCCGTCTTTTTTTTGAATGGCTGCCCCAATTCGCAAGAAAATAGATAGATAGAGGCTCTCGATATCATTCGATGCATCTTTTCAATCGCTTTGAAATAATTCTGTGATTATTGTTGCAACGAAAGAGCTCCTGAAAACCAGTAAAATCTGAAGCCCATGCTTTTTGTCATGGTCAAGTTTCGCTGTTTCTGAATTCCTATACTAAATCCTATACTAAATTCCAAAGAAGCCCAAAGAAGAAGAAGAAGTAACGAATGAATTGAGCAACTTTCCTGGTATAAAGCAATTTTCTTATTATTCGCAAAGCTCGTTCTAATTTCAGATAGCATTTTCAACAAAACAACCGAATTTTAGCAGATCTACCCCAGACACAAGCGCGTCAAACAGTTTATTTATTTATTTATTTTGTGCATTCATAGATGCTCCTGACGAACGTGGTTAGTGCAAAAAAAAGCAAAAACAGAACAACAAATAGCCAATCATAGACGTTAAAACCAGTTCAAAAGCAGGTCTGGTTTTAAAGTCAACAAAGCAAGTGAGTGTCTAAGGTGGTTTTGAAATATCAAATTTGAAATAATCCGGGCCTATCTGGGATATCTGAGACTTGATAGCATCGGATATTTACGAAATCTTAGAGCAAGCTGTGAAAAACCAAGTTTTTCATCCTTCAGGGTTTGCTCTATCCTCCGTACTCGAACTTCCCCAGAGATTCCTATACAAATTCGGAAAAATAACGAAATTTGACCATAGCAAAGGTATCGGTTCTAGATTTTGCTATGTTTTAGGAACTCGTTCATTGCACTGCAGCAATCACACAATCACTCAAAAAAAAAAGAACGAAAAATGTATCGTCTTACCAGAATGGTCTGTAAACCTCTATTCCGCGAGTTGCAGCAGCCATTCAACAAAAAAGCGAGAATACTTTCAGGACGACTCAATACATCTCGTTTTCAGTCACTAACTCAAGTTGGTATCTTCCTGTTCTAAGACAAAAACATGCCAGGAATTCCTTTTTGCATCTTAGGCAGAATATGGTCATGTTCACCTCTGTTCTAAAGTGCTTGATTAGGTAGTTCGAACGAAGATTCTCTTAACTGTCAAGCATCACTTAAATGATTTTGACAAATATCCGGGTGAGCCAAGAAATTCAGGTCTACTCTACAGCACTCGAAGATGGCGACTTTCAACGGTATTAGCAAGAAATGAAGCAGAAGAAGTCGTTACAGAGAGCGAGAAAGAGCAGCTGCCCTAGCTTAAGAAGTGTCAAGTACAATAGATTTCTGTGAGGATAATTTTCCGCTCCTAGCCTATCTAGCTGTTTAAACATGCACTAATTGAGCCACGTGTCATCAACGTGATCTTACATGATAGTTGCTGTAGAACAACATGTAATAACGAGTCATTTGAAAGCAGAGAGTACAAGGTTTCAAATGCACTAATGAACATAGGAACTATTAGGGGGTAGAGTACCACCGGCAGGACCACTGCGCCACAATAGGAGCAAAAGCTGTATGGAAATAGTACTTCATGTCTATGGAAGTCGAAACCGGTTACCAAAAATTGAGCTCGGTGTGCAGCAATTTCCGAAAGCTTTCATAATCATAAGAAAATGTAACCCTGCTATAAGAGCGCCATGATTACTGACTGACAAATGTGCATTAAGTCGCGCTTTAGAAGAAAAACTACATGCTTAGTTTTTAGTACTGTTGATTTAACTCATCTCTTTTGGAAGAAGAAATCAACTAATTAGACTAAAGCAACAGATAGATGGTTGGAGATGGGTTGGTTTTCCTCAGTGAAATCAAAATGTGAACTTTAAGCGGCTTGTAAGGAGGTGTGGCGATAAATCGATCAAAGAAAATTAGCGATGGAATTATTCATGAACTATTCCATTCCCTGTCTATGTGGGCCTTATTGCTAGAAGACTAATTTGATTTGGAAACCTTCCGTCAGAAAATTTCAAATACGTTGATTTAGCAGGCAGTAGAAATGACAAAAAAGGAATTTATTCCGTTTGACTGAGAGAAAACTTTGCTAACATTTCAAGGATCGATAAGGAGAAATGTGTACTGAGCTATAAATTCACTTGAAGTACTTGCACAAAAAATATGTATGTCAAGGATGTCAGAGACGTTTCGTGATATTTCTAATGGTCTTCTACCTGAGCACTCATGAAACGTGATCCAGAAGAAAGCAATGACTAAGCAATGTTCCAAATCAGCTTTTGGGATCAGTAACTTCATGATAATCTGATTGTGAGTGAATTTAATGAAGGGAATTTTCTCGATTTTTGTGATAGACTTACTTTCTTATAGGATGAGCTCAATAGATGCACAAACGATATGTGCACACGTATTTTTAATATTTCCTTTTATGATGACCATTATTTTTACCTACACAGGCCAAAGAAGTCGCGACCCATGCTTGATTTTCATCAAAACTTATTAAACTTTTCGCTTCACCTCTTCGTTGAAAACGTGCTCAAGTCATTGGAAAGGTACTTCAAATACTTTAAGGAATACATACGAAAAACTGGGAACTTTCCTTTATAAAGAAGCGAGAATTGCTCTTGAATTATGGGACTTAACTTCAAAGTGTTTCTCTCTACCGTTCTCAGCTATGCATATTAACAATGCTAAGATTATAAATAAGTGCTGAGTTCGGGCAGAACATTGATCACCAACTTGTTCACGTTAAATATTCTTCTCTGTTCGTTTGGCACAGAAATTTTGAACAACAATCACTATGCAGTTTATAATTAATCTTTCGGGCGGCAGCACTTTTCTACAGTGTTAATGATAGGTTTATCTTGAAATCATCTGAATATCCAAGCTTCCTAAAGCAGTCTTGGATTAAGTCGATAGCTGAGTCATGCCGACACCCTAACCAATGTATTTTTTGAAAATACTATGTGTGCAGTTATATATATTGACAAGCAATCTGATAAATAGTGACCTGCCAATAGGGGCTGTCTCAAAATAGAACAAAATCAAGTTGCAGCAGTTTGGCAAAGCTGTTGTAAAATTCTTTTTTCTTGGTTTCAAATATCACTGGTGTGTCTACTTTTTAGGACTTGGACATTACCGATTGGTGGATTGGCATACTATAAAATCGTAGCCTTTCGCCAATTTTGAATATGAGTTTTTTCTAGCCTACCTATCCCATAAACTATTCGGTGCTTACATATAGTAAGTACATAGCGCCGAGGTACTGACTTCAGGGCAGGCTACACACATTTCATACTAAAGCAAAAGAGGACTGCGAGAAAAGTCAACTTTGAATGCTAATTGTGTCATCTTACCTAAACTTGTGTGATTTGGGGTGGGGTTGAAATAAATTTCCGTTTCCGTATTCAAAAAAAAGTTTGCACTAAATAACTCAATATTTTCAAACCAACCAATTTGTAACTTACTAACAGATATATAGGTTACAAGGTTTTAGAGGTTTAAGCTATCCCAAAAGAGCGATTGTTCAATCCTAACTGATATATGGATTAGCAACGTGATTTTTCAGCATGCTGAACCTATGGAAGAATTTTTCTCACATTGGTTTCTGGTGATGACGCTAATGGCAGCCAAGGTTGAGTTTGGTCAAGATTGAAAATTTTTTGTCTCTCACTTTTGTATCATTAATTCTAAAAACTAAAAAATATTTAAGACTGCCATAATGTGATGGAGCGACAATAAGGCTTCGTAAACTGTTCAAGATTGAAAAAGTCATCAAAATAGCCGCAATTATAAAGAAATTTCGGTAATTATACTGCCCTAAAGTTTTGAGTTCAGCGAGGACTACACTAAAAAGATGAGAATTTCAGCCAGCGTTAGAACAATGCAAAGTATAGATGTTTTCACAAATTCAATGGAAAGAAAGCGAAAGAGATCAAGATAAAGAGTAAGAAAAGGTACTTCCATTCTATGAGAAAAAGTCTCGAGATTTTTTGGGGTCACAGGAAGTGAAGCCCTTATTTGTCAATGAGAGAAAGATATACCTCGTGAATACAAAAATCAGTCACCTGTAGAAGTTTTTGAAAAATGCTGTGTTCATCTACAGAATTTCAATGTTCCAGATTTTGCAATAAAATAACATAGAATTGAAAATCATACGGTCTCCCAATAAAATCACATTCGGTCACGCCCATTCTTTAGAAAAATGCGGCCGCTAGTGTTAGTCAGCAAATTTATGACATTACTTTGGTATGACAGGCAGACTGCAATGCAAAAATACAAGCCATTTGAATGTCCACTAAAGAAATGATTGTGCTGATAAGAGGAATCGGTCTCAATAAAACCTCACCAGCTAAGATAAGGATTTTAAGTGCATAAGGAGATGTTTGAGCGAAAAATCAGGTGATGCGAACTAAACGCCACACTTCAAAAACTCACATTACGCAAACCCAACATAAAAACAACATGACTGTAATTGCACAAACCTATCCCTTTATTAAAAGATTTTTTCTCAAACGATATGTAAGAATAAAGGGGAAATTTTTTGAATGTTGAGCTGTAACTGATACTTACTTGCTAGGTTTCCGAAGTCGCTGATTGTCCATTGTTGTTAATTTTCTAAACATCCCAACAGTCATAGTTCTTTGACAAGTCCATGCTATACCCTGAAAAGTGAACTGTAGATGACGGTTCTTGCCAAGGACTTTCCTGTACTGACTTGAGATATTTCCAAAATTAACGTTTACCCTATAAAAGTTCATATGAAAAGGCAAATGCAAACAATGCACATGTCCTATTTAGGCAACGAGCACAAAAAAGAGATAGCAAAATGCTGTTGTTTCGATGCGTATGTATCACAGATGATTCGCTTACGACGATGCACTTTACTGCCCTATATGGTTCCGAGCACGTTTGAAAGCTCTTTTACCAGTCATATAATCATGCAAGCAGCTTGTTTTCGTTTGGTTATAATTTTTCTGAGTTACAAGGACTGTGATTTCAATACTCCTTAATGATTCAAAACAATTTCTCTTAAGACTTGCGAGCGAGTAAACCCTAGAAAATCCCATATTTTTGGGAGTTTTTGATGACATTGCTACTGGAGAATAACCTGCACAATTTGCTCTGCATCATTGGCACCAGTGCCCGGTTGGCATAGTTGTTCTAACGATGAAAATGCAGATAAAGATAATATGCGTTGGGTTTAATTCTCAATTTGATGCCATTTCTCTTTAATAATGTCTTTTAGAAAATTCAACCCGACATTGCTTCGAAGTTAATGCGTCACATATCGCCGCTGCCACAGAGTCACAAAATTTGGATCCTGCTGCCCTAACCTGGAACGATTACCTTGTATCGAAGAGCATTTATGACTCTTACACTACATTATCAGTTGTGCTCCTGTCTGTTACAAGGCAAATCTCAATGAGACTTTGACTGCCTCATTCAAGACAGAATTAGGTTGACGGATAATTTGTGTTACACTTTTATGTTTATTTCTCAAAATTCTAAAAAACTTTCAAAAATTCTCATGTTCAAGGACTGTTGACGGCGTGCAAAGGTCTATCGATAAGGTTTAGTAATAATAGGTCTATGTCTGAATAATACTAATATGGTCTTCTAATATAATGAATTCCAGACTAATCTTACTTGTTTATCTGCTTCTTTCTTCTACTTTCACGCGATAAACGGAGATTTTTGAGACAGTTCGTGAATGTTATGACCTTGTTTGGGCTGCTAAAAAAGCTCCAAAAGATGATTAAATTTCTTTTTGTAAGACTGGCTATGGGTTAGGCAAAAATGCCTATTTTGGCTGAAAACAAGTAGCTTTCATAAGAGCATTTTCCGCTTACTGTTACTCCTGTTTGAGTTTAGGGCAGATTTCATGCCTATAAATTCAACATTTATGTACACAGTGTCTCATTGCTTTCAATGTAGTAAAGCTGTTGAACTTTTGATTGTTTTCGTGATCCCAGCGGTAAAATACAGTACATAAACTTCCAGCTGAAAAAATTCCAAACGCATAAAAGCGGTGTTTTTGATCACTCTCACATAGTTTACTCAGAATGTCCCTGCTTTCATCGAAGCTACTCGTTTTTGTAGCGCTTTTGATAGTAAGCGTTTTCGTCCTTATTTCGGAGTAATTTATTAAGATTTGGCATAGATCGTTCCAGCGACTAATGCCGAAGCGAACAAGAAATGCAATGCACGTTGGAAGGCATATGGTTTTGACGAGAGCCTAAATGATGTGAGAAGAAATAAAGTGCAAGAAGTGATACGGCAGAAACAAGGAGTTGTAGTAAGTCATTACACAAGTCTCATTCGGTATGCTAGTATCCAAACCACTTGAAGATAACCTAATAAAACGGGGAGCTCTAATTGAGAGTTTACAGCGTCACAATAGTAACTAAACCCTACCGATCGAAACAGTGTTTATATGGAAAAACTTGCACTTAAAGCTTTCGCCTCAAGAATGAACCGAACTTTGCTTTCCCTCAACGGTAAACTACGGGCGTAAAGCGTTGCGCAATCCCTGCGCTTCGTGTTTGCGAATTTCTATCAAACTTTGCTTCGGATTTTTTTAATGGATAAGAAAAGTTTCAAATTTGGCTTTCTCATTTGTTTGGGAGCCCTTGGAATTGGCGTGATGCTCAGAAAGCGCAAGAGCCCTGGAAACCTGGAAATTCTTGGGAGACTGCCTTCAAGCGTAGTAGGATACTTCATTGACGAGGGTAATGTCTCGGCATCGTTGCGCACTTTACAGTCAACATCAAGGTTTGCTTGACTTGCTTCTTTGTCGTAATCATAAGTACATAACTAAACTTTGATTTAACTGGTTAGGCGGCTGGAAGGCGGGGCTTTGCGACCTGATTAAGGCCGCTCGCGCCCGCGACGCAATCTGCGTCTCGTGCGTATGTTCTCTGATTACCTAGCTTTGATTAGGTCACGACCCGCCTCATAGCCGCCAAGCAGTTGAATCATAGGGTATCTGCACCATAGCCATGGGAGAGCAAGTCACTGGATGGGCAAAGTGATCTCAACTATGTAAATCGAATGCCCAAGGGTTTACTGATTTGGGCACTGAGAACACACACCATCATTTCCTTTGGCGTTTCCTTTATGTTGATCACTTGCACATTTCGAGGATTCATCGCTGCTCACTCGTTGAAAACGTGCAACTTACTGTAAAGCTGGGACACTTTTTTCCTTTTGTAAATTCTTTCAGAGTGAATCGACCTTTCATTTGTTAATCTACTTCACTTGATGATCCTATCTACTGAGCGTACTGCTGTGTGGTTTACTGTTTTGGTGAGAAAGATCGCAAGATAATAGCCAGAGTTATGGCGTTTTACGGAATAGCCGAGTCTTTGAAGCCACATCTTATGTTCCGTTGAAAGAAGCGACGGAAACTCACCCTGTTTCGAATTTTTCTGATATCTTAGCACATAAGGTACTTACGTGAACCTGTGCGACTTTTTATGTCTTTTACTAACAATGTATATTTAGAAATATGCTTGTGAGCACGAGCAAATCGCCGCCAAAATTCGTGACGAGGTTCTAGAAGATGATCCCACATTCACTTATGGCATAGATCTAGTGTTTGCAGCAAAAGAGAAGTTCAAAATCTCCGAAGAAGTTACTTTCTTTCCTGAGTGAGTTTTACTTAGTGTCTTCTGAAGAAATCTTCGATGTTCCAGGGGAATGCTCGAAGATAAACTGCAGGAGATAGACATTGTTGCCAGTAGCTTCGGATGCGCTCGTAGCGACGGAACAGAGCAGCCACCAGTGCTCATCAAACCAAGCCCTAAACCGAGCCCTAAACCAAACCCACCAAAAAAGAAGCCTAAGAACAAGAAGAAAAAACACAAAAAGAAGAAGAAGGCTGTCAAAAAGTCAAGACATAAGAGGTCAGCAGCCAAAATGCCTGCGAAAACCGTGAAAGTAAAGAGCACAAAGAAAAAAGGAAAGAACAAGCCTAATGGCAAGAAAGTCAAGAAAGGAAAAAATTCTGGGAAGAGAAAAAATAATAAAAGGGTACCACAACCAAGCGTGAAACCACCAGCTTTTAACATGAAACCGATACCTCCTCTCAAGGCAGTCTATTTTGTGTGTGTATATAAATTGAATAACGCCCGGGCAGAATAAAAGATTAGTGTTGATTTCCTTTGTCAGATCTACCCTTTACTTCGAAAATTTGTAACTCGAATAAATTGGACTGAGATTATCAGTTTACTAACATAAGGCAATATTAATTATATTGTACATTTGCAGTTTAAATGTGGTATACAATATGTTGATAAAGCGAGTCACTCTCACACATTAATAGTTTATTTCACCTTCGTTTTCTGTCTAACCATTTTCTTTCTTTCCTTCCGGTATAAAGCATGCAATAAGAAGTTTGTGGTCATTTAAAGACTCTCTCAAAACAAACAAATGCTCTAGCAGCTTGCGCAGTATATAAGCGGAAGCAATGCTAGCGTTGTAAATTTATTGGAAATTAGTTACGACCAGGACAATTATCGTGAGGTGATCAAATTACCAAAAGGCAGCATCTTGCTATTTTGGAAATAACTTTGTTTGCATGTAAGGTTTAATAAGAAATTTTTTTGTTCGAATCGAATAAAGCACCGCAAATTTCCACACTTCAGTAGCCGCTTTCTGTAGTTGTACTCCTTCTGCAAACTGTGAAGGTCCAGACCTTTTGATTCAACGGAATTGGCGTTTGAAAGACGAACGCTCGCACTCCGACGCAGTCTGCCTTTCTCTCATTTTTTTCACGAACGTGCTCTCTGATGATTCCCTAGCTTTGATAAGGCCTCGAAGCCCCATCTCCCAGCCGCCAATCCCATTGAATCGAATTTACACGCACGACGGCATTATCACTATTTTGATTACGTGAGTAGAGTGAAAAAGAATACGAAAACGAGCACAATATAGGAAAGAGACCGTTAGACTTCTTGACCTCGGCTAACGCGCAAAGACAAGAAGAAATGCAACCACAAAATGATTGCTGAAATGAGAATGACTGTACTACTGCGTCCATTGTACTTTATGAGACCTGTCATAAGCAGATGCTCTACTATTTGCACAGTAGTATAACTAGCTAGTATCGATCATGAGTACAATATTCATCCTTGAAATTATCTGCCTTTATCGATTTTGTCATTTTTCCAATCTCCGAGCCGGGTGCACAAGGGAGTGGGGGGTGAAGCATGTTGGTAACGAAAATAAGATTATTCTGGGAAAACTCCGACAGTCGAAGCGATACCTCCGGCGGGCATATGGCGCGAGTCTGCCACTTTGCGATCCGGAGCTCTGCCATTTCACGCATTTTTGTGCTCCGGGGCTCTCCCAAAAGTGGCCCACCTCCGGAGCAGAGATTTGCGCGTCGCGGAGAGGGGTCCCATTCATTCACCGTGACGTCACGGTGACGTCACAAACAGGACGAATGGGACCCCTCTCCGCGGCGCGCAAATCTCTGCTCCGAACGTGCGCCACTTTTGGGAGAGCTCCGGAGCACAAAAATGCGTGAAATGGCAGGGCTCCGGAGCTCGAAGTGGCAATCCTCCGCTGGGAAAAGCCCGCGACCCTGCCACTTCTGCTCCGGAGGTATCCCATCGACTGTCTGAGAACTTCAAATGATTCATCGGAACTTCCGCAGTACAAGTGGAATTTGCAGCGGTTTCGCGGCACTTCGTTCCTAATGCGAGGACTCCGGGGGAAACTAACATCAGAGCAGTTGAAAGCATTTCCTCGGCACTTTCTGTGCGTGCTTCGATGCTGTAAAACCGTGAAGGTTCACATGTAAATATGAGTCCATTCTCCCTACAGTTGTGAACCTTGCGCTGGATCCGTTTTGACACACTCAGATAATATGTTGAAAAGGAAATTGAAGGCTATGTAAAGTTCACCCAATTTGATCGGAAACATGCGGCTGTCCAATATGATATTTTCTATTGCTAATTACTTTGTAAATTTTGATTCTAGCACATTCTTTTAACAAATGCTGAACAGAAGAAATCATGCAGTGAAGAGGAGAGTGACAGAAAGTACAATTTGTGTTCTTTTGCGTAAGAGTACACAGCCGCAGTGCAAACGTTGTGTGCGGACCTCTAATCGACGCGGCTGATGTGAATGCCCAAGCCATACGCGCGCAAACGTAGCGCGCTGCTCTAATGTGGCGATTGCGCAGATGAAAAAGGTAGTACGCAAACTCAGGCTGTAAGTCAACTCTTGAGCTGCACTCGATTCATTTCATGTACAGTAACCGCCAAAAAGTTGCGGACAAGTTGCCCTCCTTTATTCAGCGTTCATTTTCGAATGGAAAACCAGAATGAAAATGATTCGATTGCATGAGGTGATAGAGCTCTTCAAGAGCTACAACATACGCATTGTACTTTCTGGAAAACTTGTATTCTAATTTTAAAATTTTTTTTCTAAAAAAAGTCCGAAAATGGCCGCGTCACAATGTCGCGGACAATACTTCTTCGAACGCGAATATTTCCTTTTCGGTTTTTTTGGAGCAAAACAGAGGTTTTCTGAACAGGTAAGCATACTAAATCATAAAGCTCATCGAGGACAACAATCAGTAGTGGTTACTTCCAAAGAAAACGCAAGTTTGAATTCGTTTTGCTTTTTTAAAAAAATAACTTCTAATTTTCTCTTTTTGAAGCAATTTTCTCTACATGGGAACCTATTCAAGGAATTCCAACAAAACTGTTCAGATAAAGTAGATGCTCTTTACCATTATCCATGCATCGGACGTGTGCTGGTGAGTTCCTTTGCTGAAAATGGCTCTTGACAATGCGCGCACATGACCCCGTCTGCACCTCACCACTGACTTGCACCGCTTTGCAGGTCTGCAGCTCAGCCGTCAGGCAATCTACGGGCCTGTACTCAAGCTCATTCGAAAGGGCGTGACTTTTTCAACACGACAGTATGCAAACAAGTTCAGTTTGAGCAATCTCAGAGATTTGACGGATGAGGTGAAAAAGTGCAGCCTTAGAGGTGATTGGAGTGAAAGCTTTTATGAACAGAACGGTCTTAGCGCTTCGAAATGGATCTATTACAAGTAGATTGACAGTTTTGAACTTCTAGGATGAAATTGGTACGAAAGGAGCTCTCATCAACTTTAGCTCACCTCATCCGTCAAATCTCTGAGATTGCTCAAGCTAAAATTATTTGCATACCATCATGTCGCGGAAGTCACGCCCTTTTGAATGAGCCTATGCACGGGCTCGTAGATTGCCTGAAGGCTGAGCTACAAGCCTGCAAAGCGGTGCAAGTCAGGGTGAGGTGCAGACGGGGTCATGTGCGCGCATTGTCAAGAGCCATTTTCAGCAAAGGAACTCACAAGCACGCGTCCGATGCATGGATAATGGTAAAGAGCATCAACTCTATCCGAACAGCTTTGCTGAGGTGCCTTAAATAGGTTCTCATGTAAAAAAATTTGCTTTGAAAGAAAATAGAACTTATTTTTTTAAAAAGCAAAACAAATTTCAAACTTGCGTTTTTTGAAAGTAACCACTACCTGATTGTTGTCCTTGACAAGCTCCATGGTTCAATATGCCTACCTATTCGAAAAACTTCTGTTTTGCTCCAAAAAAAGCCCCAAAAGAAAAGTTTCGCGTTCGAAGAATCATTGTCCGCGACATTGTGACGCGGCCATTTTCGAACTTTTTCTAGAAAAATATTTTAAAATTTTTAGAATGCAAGTTTTCCAGAAAGTGCATTATGTACCTATGTTGTAGCTCTTGAAGAGCTCTATCACCTCATGCAATCCAATCATTTTCTCATCCTGGTTTTTTGTTCGAAAATGATCGCTGTATAAAGGAGGGCAACTTGTCCGCAACTTTTTGGCGGTCCCTGTACATGTGTCACTGCACACACAGTCTATCGGTTCCCATCCTGGATTCTTGGAAGAGACAACTCTCCAGACAAGTCTTTTTAACGTGTACTCAACATTTTCATTTGTTTTTAGGTGCTAATCACCTCAAAATGATGTAAGCGATCTGTGATTGCTCAGACAGTCGACGGCATACCTCCGGAGCAGAAATGGCAGAGCCGCGGGGTTTCCCCAGCGGGGGGTTGCCACTCGTGCTCCGGAGACCTCCCATTTATGCTCCGGAGACCTCCCATTTATGCTCCGGAGACCTCCCATTTATGCTCCGGAGTCCTCCCATTTTGTGTTCCGGAGCCCTGCCATTTTGTGCTCCGGAGGTGTCCCAAATCTGGCGTACCTCCGGAGCGCAAATCTCTGCTCCGGGGCTTTCCCAAATCTGGCGTACCTCCGGAGCGCAAATCTCTGCTCCGGGGCTCTCCCAAATCTGGCGTACCTCCGGAGCAGAAATTTGCGCGTTCCGGAGAATGGTCCCACTCGCCTGCTTATGACGTCACCGTGACCTACAAAAAGGGACCGCCCCCTCGCCCCGCTCTAATGGTCAAGTCCTTCGCGGCTCTGCCAGATTTCGACTGTCCTCCGGAGCTACGGCACCGACTGTCTGAGTGCAAATTCAGGATGATGTCGCCAAAGATGGACGGTGTGTGCAATGCACATATGATCACATTGAATGACTCGACTGTATATTCATACCGTGCACAGCTTGACTTCTGCTCATATGACAGAAGCACATGTACTGTGATTGTGGTTTTACGAA